TTTGCTGCGGGCGTGCTGATGGGCACAGCTGTCCGTTTGCTGTGGGCATACTGATGGGCACAGCATTCTTGCCTGTAGCCAGAGTCCCTTCCTGTTGTTTGTTTCCCCACATGAGGGCAGGGATTTGATTTTCGGTTTCCCAGTGCTCAGAAGCGTGCCTGGCCCCTGGTCGTTGCACAGTGATGTTTGTTGAGTGAATGAACTATTCACTCTTCTCTCCTGCTACTAAGGAGGAGAGTGAGCTCCAGGATTTTATGCCTCAAGCTGCCCACTGAGGGCTTTAGTTTAATTCCCTCAGAGCACCTGAAATTTGGATGAGAGAAAAATTGGCCGGAAAAAGGCTTTTGTTCTTACTTTTAATTATTCTCAGTGACACAGAAACAACTCTTTGTTTCTGTTCTTGCCTGCAGAAATGCCAGAAATGCCTTGGGAGGCTTGAGGAGTGTGGCTGACTGGTGGGACTGGAGTCTGACGGTGCTGCTGGACGGTCTGTACGAGGGAGGCCCTGCGGCAGCCAGCGGGCCAGGGGCTCAGGTGGGCTCTCCACTCCCCCCTCACAGGATATCACTTCACAAGGCCAAGTTATAGTGGGCAAAACAGTCACTAACATGTGGGTTCCAATACTACAGAGTTTCCTGAATAACCAGGAGGCTGTGAGGCTGGGGGCCCTCCACTGTGGGCACCTGCGGCCAGCAGGGCACCCAGGCCTTTCCCTGCTAGAGCCCTTTCACCAATCCCATTACACCCTCGGCAGCTACGTGGATCTCCAGACCCCTACAGTCCTCGGACCTCAGCTGAACATGGGGCTACGGCACAGCCAGGGGGGCCTGGGCTGGTGGGCAGCAGGTGAATAAACTGAAGATTCTAGTTGATTCTGTGAAATGCCATAGCAAAGGGGTACAGGGAGCCCCTGGAACAGGGGAGGAACAAGGGTGGGAGCCTCAAGGAAGCTGCTGCGGTGGCAAGGCTGGTCTCAAGTGAGGAAGAGAAAGAGAATACGCATTTTGCATAATCCGTTTTCTTGCTAATCTTTTATTTTCATCCCCCGCCCTATTTTTTAAAAGGAAAGATCTTCGTCCTGAATTATTCAAACATGTTATTTCTCATTTTATTTGGTTGTATTCTATGTAGTCTTCTGGGTTGGTGGCCCTGGAGAAATACTAAAAAAGTTGAAAAGAGACCATTCTGGAGTGATGTGAATTATGGAAGCATCACTGAATGCCAGCCCTCTTCCAGGTCAGGACTGGCTTTCCGGACGCTGGTGTGTCCTCAGAATGTTGTTAGAAGCCAAGCACAAGTCTCTCCTCTAAGGTAGCGGGGCAAGTTCTCCAGAGCACCAGCCCTTTCTGGCTCTGCCTGATCATGTCTGAAGCCTGCGTCCGCCAGCCAGTGCTCTCCTTGGTTTTTTTCTTTTAGGCCGGAGCTCTTGGAGGAAAATGCTTCCTAATAGGAAGTCCAATAATCCAGCAGCTAAAAGTTTCTCCCAGCAGTTCCAGCAAGGTAAATGTTCCTTTTCTCTCTTCTTTTAAAAATAAATGGAATTAGAAAAGTGTAGTTGGCAGTGGGCAGGGCACTGGCAGATCTTTGTGACTTCTGGCTGGGGCTGGGTGAGCGCGAGGCTTGCCCCTGCCTTCACCCCGCCGACCCCTTCCAGAGGCTCTTCCTTCCTGGGTGTTCTCCTGCAGGTTTCCTCGGGTCCTTGTTTGGCCTCAGAGACTGGTGTTCCAGGCCAAACCAAGATTTTTAATCCAAAAATAGATATTCTCATATCCCTTTTCTTTTTTTGTTTTGTTTTGTTGCAGTTTGGCCGTGGCCCAGTTTGAACCTGCCACCTTTGGTATATGGAGCCAGTGCCCTACCCACTAAGCCAGAGGCGCCTCCCATCATATTCCTTTTCTAACAGTGTGGGTGCCCCAGGATGGGCACCTTACCTGTGTTGTCCCTTCAGTGAGGAACTCTTCAGCCTTAGGTGCCACCTTTCTGTGGCTTGATCCCTCCAGCTTGAGCTAGAACCTGGGGACCATGAAACAGGCTGCAGAACGTTCCCTTGAGGGGATCAGGGTGCTGTGTTGCGGGATAGACTGTGCACCTGCGTGAAGCCAGGTGGGAACCCCCGAGTGCAGGGTAGACTTGGGAACAGTGACCTGTCTTCTTCTGAGTGGTGTCTTCTCCCACAGCCTCTGGGGACATTTTCAGCTCTCACTGAAGACCCTCTTCCCACATGCAACCCCGAAGTTAGAGGCCCCAAGAGCCCCAACCTGACTGAACCACAGAACCAAAATGTGACCCCAGACAGTCCCAGGGGCTGTGGGGCAAGGGAGGACTGTGTGCTTAGTCTGGGCAGAACCAGGTCAGTGTGACTCAGAGGGCCAGTGCTCATCCCAGCTTGCTGGCCACTCCCTGGCTAGCTGGTCACCACCTGGCTTTCTGGTTACCACGCCAGCTTGCTGCTTACCACTCTGGCTTGCTGGTCACCTCAGCTTGCTTGTCACCACCCCAGCTTGCTGGTCACCACTCTCACTTGTTGTTCACCACCCCAGCTTTCTGGTCACCCAGCTTTCTGGTCACCACCTGGCTTTCTGGTCACCACTCTGGCTTGATGGTCACCTCAGCTTGCTTGTCACCACCCCAGCTTACTGTTCACCACCCTGGCTTGCTGGTCACCCAGCTTGCTGGTCACCAACTTGGCTCAGCTATTGGTTGGATGTGGTGCTACTGCAGCAGATGCAGCCTCCTGACAGCCCTGAGAGGAGGGCATTTCACTGCCAGGGGCTTGAACAAAACTTGTCACTGTTACAAGTGGCAGAAAGCTGTGTTGGGGGTGACAGATGCAAACTCAGGCCTTTCTGCTTGTAAGTGTGTAGAGGAGGACAGAGCAAAACATTCTCTCTAAAAGTTGTTGGAAGATTAAATACTATGATGTGTGATACTTAAAAGATGGCTGAGGCTCAGCGCCTGTGGCTCAAGCGGCTAAGGCGCCAGCCACATACACCTAAGGTGGCGGGTTCGAATCCAGCCCAGGCCCACCAAACAACGATGATGGCTGCAACCCAAAAAAATAGCCAGGCGTTGTGGTGGGTGCCTGTGGTCCCAGCTACTTGGGAGGCGGAGGCAGGAGACTCCCTTGAGCCCAGGAGTTGGAGGTTGCTGTGAGCTGTGATGCCAGAGCACTCTACCCAGGCGGACAGCTTGAGTCTCTGTCTCAAAAAAAAAAAAAAAAAGATGGCTGTTGCTGAACCATCTGGAGGGTGTGGGATATGGCAGACAGGCAGTGTTCGTGCAGCCACACTCCCCACTCCCCTCTCCCCTGACCTTGCAGCGGGCTGCTGCCGCTTTGCACCACAATGGTGCAGATGAGGAGTGGAGTGTCAAGCGCATGACAAGCGTGACCCCACAGTGCTCCCTCCCCTCCCCCAACCATGTGGCTTTGCAGGCGCGAAGCCCACATGGCCCTGGCAGGACTCAGGGCCAGCAGGTGGATTGACGGCAGCACCAGGGCCGTGTCCGTGTACTTCACCCTCTACAACCCTCCAACACGGCTCTTCAGCAGCCTGTCTGTGAGCGTGGAGATCCTCCCCACAGGGGGGCTGGCACCTTCGTACCTGGTGGAGTCATTCGGCATCTTCTGCAGTGACTCAGCTGAGAGCCACCTCCTCCTGCTTCTCCAGGTGAGTTCTCCTGGTGGAGCACCGTGAGCTGGGGCTTCAGGGGGCTGGGCTGTCCCCCACACAGGACCAGCACCCACCCGCTCGCCACCCTGCCCTCCACGCTCCTGTCACATCCCCATCATGCTACAGATGTCACACTGGGTTTGGGGACACAAGACAAAGAAGACGTCCAGCGGGGAGACCAATCATCATACACCTGGCAGAGAGAGGAGAGCCGTCCTCACGTCCTAACGTCACCACAGGAGGCTTAGGCCTGACCTCTGGGTCTCCCACGGGTTGTAACTCAGGCTGCTCCAACAGAATACCACAGACTGCGTGGCTTAAACAAGAGAAATTTATTTTCTAAGATTCTGGAGGCTGGAATTTTATGAGGAAGGTTCTAGCACCCCCAGGTTCTAGCCAGGGCTATCTTCCTGGCTGGGAGGCCCCGCTTTCTTTCTTTCTTTCTTTTTTTTTTTTTGCAGTTTTTGGCTGGGGCCAGGTTTGAACCCACCATCTCCAGTATATGGGGCTGGCGCCCTACTCCTTTGAGCCACAGGTGCCACCTTTTTTGTTTTGTTTTATTTTGTTTCTTAACAGAAATTAATTAATCAATTAATTTATTTATTGAGACAGACTCTCACTCTTTTGCCCTAGGTAGAGTCCCTCTGTGTCTTAGCTCATAGCAACCTCAAACTCATGGGCTCAAGCAGTTCCAGCCAAGTAGCGGGGACTATGGGCATCTACCACAATGCTCAGCTATTCTGAGAAACAAGGTCTCACTCTTGCTCAGGCTGGCCTCAAACTCCTGAGCTCAAGCAATCCACCCACCACAACCTCCCATAGTGCTAGAATTACAGGCATGAGCTACCACGCCTGGCTAGAAACTTATTTATTTTTGTTAATATAAGGGTGCAGGAGGGCTTCCTTGTACCCCTGTGTTTCACCTGTTAACTGGGAGCTGACTGGGCCCCTCCCCTTCTCCCTCCCATCCTCCTAGTTGAATTTGATGGTGTTTTTCTCTCCCATGGATCTGTACTTGCGCATTTGCTAGTTTCAAATCAGTATTGAGTGCATAGGGCGCGTGCTTTTCTATTCTTGAGATGCTTTAGTAAGGAGAATGTTCTTCACTTCCATCCAGGTAAACACAAAGATGGAACGTCTCCATCCTCTTTTTGTGGGGGAGCTGGTTTCTTACCGTGTACTCACACGACCTCTTCTTCGTGGGTACATGGGATGGGAGGGGAAGGGAGCAAGGAGAGCGGGACCCACGCATGTGTGTTGTCTGGCTCTGCAGGTGCGGTCCCTCACCCCACAGGGTCAGGGCCCCTCAGTGAACCTTGATTACGTCTCTGAGGCTCCACCTCCAAATCCATCCCCACTGCAGGTCAGGGATTCCACCTATGAATTGGGGGACTCCAGTCTTCAACCCATAGTACCAGGGACCTGGATGAAGTGCAATATGTTCCCGTAGCATAGTTGAATGATCTAAACCACCGTGAGTCACCCTGAGACTTTCTTTGGGAACGGTGCTGATTCTGTTGCCTGCAGTGCACTTTTCTGCTGTGAAGAATTCAGTTCTGCTGACGCTTTGCGTCAAGCTTGCTTTGCCTGAGAAGTGCAGAGAGGAGAATCCCAAGAACTTTTGGACTCTGGGAGGGTTGAGTACCACAGTACAGGCTGAGTGAGATTGTGAATACAGCACAGTGCCACACTTGCCCATGGGTGGCAGGGAGGGCAGGAGAATGGCCTGCAGGCCAGGCTGGCCAGGGGAGGCTGGAGATGCTGTCCCCTTGGGCACCAAAATCATGCGGCGATCAAGGTAAACAGCGATCTAGTACAGTACTTTTAAAAAGCACAATTCACACAAAACATAATGGACAAAACACCGTAATTCTAAGTTTTGCTGCCTGACTCCTCCGTTTGCCTTGGGCTTTAATACAGCATCCTGGGAACCCCGCAGTGGGCTCTGCTCTGTTCCATCTCTGGCACCTCACAGCAGCACAGTGTGCAGAACTCCAGACAAGGACCCAGGATGCCCAGGCCCCTGCTGCTCGGTTTCCCTTCCTCACCCTCATGGCTAAATTGGAGTTTGAGTTAGTGCATGAACACGTGAGGCATGAGTGACCACGCGCCGCCTCAGTGGAGAGAGAGCTTTTTTTTTTTTCCGCAGTTTTTGGGCCAGGGCTGGGTTTGAACCTGCCACCTCTGGCATGTGGGCCTGGCGCCCTACTCCTTTGAGCTACAGGCGCCGCCCATGGAGAGAGAACTTTAATAAAGCCCTAATATAGGAGCTTGTAAAAGTTTTACTCCGTCAGGTAACTAACACACGTATCTATTTCACATTTCACATATTCCACATGCACCTGACCCACTCTTTTGAGAGGTGCAGGCTGGAGGGGCAGCGTGGAGGTCAGCGTCCCCTGGAGTCCCTGGTGTCTGTGGGTGCAGGGCCTGTTGGGGGGTTCTGGTGCCTGGTAGGAAGTTGGGTTTCTGTGAGTGCTCACCACGTGCAGAGCTTCCCACACCCAGTGCCGTGGATGGGAGCGTGTGGCATCACAGCTGCAGAGCTCGAAATTGTCTTACATCCTATTTATGCAAAGAGTAACTGGCAGGGGAGCCAGCTGCAAGTTGAGGCTTTATAAAAACAGTTGGTCAGGGTGGCGCCTGTGGCTCAAAGGAGTAGGGCACCTGCCCTATATGCC